TCAAGGATTGACGTATTTAAACAGAACATAAAAGATGGTCTTAAACATGCCAAGGGTGAATCAGAATTTATAATTATAAAAAAAGGCAGCCCGTGCACCAATTTTTCGCGGTATGGTAAAGCAAACCCCCAGTTGTTGACCCCCCCCCCCCCCCCCCCCCGGGCAGGGGGGAGGGGGGGGGGGGGGGTCAGCAAAATTGAGTTTACACAATAACCCTCCACTTCGAGTAAAATATGACTCGGTGGCACGAAACAAATTTGTTAAAGAAGTCTCTAAGTTATGTTGTGCTGAAGTTCTATAATATGATGGAAAACTGGTAATTTTCGTTAAAACTAATAAAATGGGTATTTTATACATGAATCATATCTTAGATTAATGGTTGTTAGCATCTATTAACATATCCGTTGTAATTTTTTTAAAAAAGCTATAAAGTATATTCCAGAAATAGTTAGCTTTAACAAAGACGACATTCTAAATATATTGCAGATTTACAGGATGATGAAAATTATTACAAATGATATAATGTTAGTAAATGAAAAAAATTCATAATATATTCATTTAGTTAATTCTCACCATGAAACACAAGACAAATGCATTTTAACAGGAGTATTGATCGTCTTATTAGGTTTAATGAATCGTATTATAACACTTTTTTGCCGAACCAGTCTTTTTTCTATGTCGTCTTCTGTATAAAGATGAAATATCAAATACAACTTTTGTATTCCAAATACATACACATCAGTCGACAAGTTAACAATTTGATCTTATTCAAAAAGTTATTGTAAATCTTTTTCAAAAAATTTTTTAATCTTCAAATTATCAACTCAAGTTGAAATTGCCAGGATAAAATTTTTAAAAAAGCATATGGGTAGGGTTCAACTAACAAAATAGTCAAAGTGTCGGTCGGAGTTTAAAAAAACCTAAATTTAACCTGGAAAGCTGGCCTTGACAAATTTGGCTTTACAAACATGTCGTTCAACCCTATACCATATTATAAGCCCCTTTTCTTTAAAGGCTGTACATAGATTTAGACCCCCCCCCCCCCGCCTTAAACTAAACTAAATAAAATTATTATTGCACAACCTTGTTTGACTAAAGACCATTGGAGTCTTTAAAACCACATAGTTAGTCCTTAAACTGTCAGATCGCATTCCATAGTTTTGGGGGACCACTGTATAGATCTCGCAGAACAGTCGTATATACGTGATACAAAGAGTGAAGTGAAAACAAAGACCACTTAATAGGATTATGAATCATCCGTTTCAAATTCTATTGAATGCTTCACAAACATCTCAACAGAATGATTCGGTCATTTCTTTTCCCGGCCTACTTAGTTACACTCAGTTATACCCACGAAAATATACTTAAAACCCCCCAGGGGATGAGAGGGCCGGGGGATAAAGGAAGGTAGTGTAAAGATTAACCCTATAAAGGCTGTGGGGTCTGAATCTATGCATAGCCTGGTGTTTAGTTTTTAGATCTGATGCTTTTTTTCATAGACCGGACTTTTTTCCACCCTGCACCCTACCCTATAGATTAAAAAAAATTTTAACAAAAAATCCTTTAAATTACTATTTATTAAAAGTAACAAAATTTCACGGTGATAGTGTCAAAAAAAGAGAGTGCTAGTACAAAAAACATCCTGTTTAGGGTTAAGATAAAATGTGGCTATGATTGAACATAATTTAAACAGATTTAATATTCTTTACATTATTTTCCAAACCTTGTTGTTTTTTGCAAATCTATTGATTATTCAAAGAATGAGAATGGATTTTGCAACAAAATATATTTAAGAAAATATTTCTATTTTAGCCTTTGTTACCCCCCTGACACACAGGGTTTTCTAAAAAAATCTCAACCCATTTGGTCCAGCCGTTTAGCCAAAAGCTAACATATATACAGACAAATATATATGAGCGAAGAACTTTATTATATAGATACGATATACATCATAATACATATAACTAAAAGAAATGTTGATTTGTATCGTTGATTCTTCTTTAAGTGTGTTCTATAAAGGTTTAAATTTCAAGAAAGAAATTGAGTTCTTGTTACAAACTCTAATTTTCTGGTTCCTTTACCTTTACAACCCAATGTTGTAGACATAAGATATTTAAAACTATGAATTATGTTCACTTTTCATGTAATCAAGTTTAACGGCTTGCAAAGTTATGGGAATTGTGACAAAATCTCAGTTCCCTTAACAATCATTCTTTAATTTACATTTTTTTCTTTCTCCATTTGGAATAAAAATGTTTAAATTGCTGATATTGTAATATAGCCTGTAGATAGACTTTAAATGCCAAGACTGTATTGCACTTGAATTCTCCAATAACGGAATCTCAATCTGGAACCAGGTTAGGGGAATCAATTTGGTATTAATCAAAAACATTTTCAAGTGTAAATCTTTAATCATGGTTTAACAACAAATGTACCCGGCGTTGCCCGTGAATTTCTAGACCTTGCATAAAACGCAACACTATATAAATAGACGAACTCCTTAAGAAGATAAATATGAAGGAAAACTCGTAAATATGTTTTTAACTTATTCATAGTTTTTTTTCTACATAGATTTCAACTTTTCATCTGTTATGATTATAGGTCGGTAAAAATTGTTGAAAATGGTTTTACAGATAATTTCTAAATTCAAAGTTCATGATGTTTCTACTCTTTTTGCTAAATTCAGCATTGCAGTTTCTTCTTTCTCATTTTGCCATTTTGCCATATATAGATTTCAATCGTGAAATTTCATGATCAAATTCGACGTACAAAATGTTTTCTCAGATATTACTTTTTTCATAAAGTTCTTAACCAACTTTTGGTTCATAATTACATCTTTGATCACATCAACAACCCCTCATAGCATATTGAAAATTTATAAAATTATTCATTTATAAGTTAAGAAAATGTTATTTTTGTGGTAATTTTTATTTTTCCCCCTTTCTTCAATTTCATCAATGTTTCTGAACTACAAGGTTGAGATTAACCTAAACTAGTTAATTACAGAAACACCATTCATGAACCCAACCTAACATTCCACTAACAAAGCAGCAAAGATTCAAGACTTGAAATCATTAAATATAAAAAGAGACTTTTCATGATTTCTTAAAATGGAACAATAGCAGACAGCAACTCGGCCAATTTTTTGTGATTTTGGGACATCTCCAATAATGGTAGTCATTTCTGTAGCCCTGGTCAGGATGTTTTTACCGTCAAAAATCGAGAAAATCTGACTTTATTAAATTTTTCATTTATAATTTCTTTTTAAAACCAAATTTAGCTTGAACAACAATTCCAGCACATAAATTGAAGTCTAAACTTTTTTGTTTATATTCAAAATAATTATCTAATAATACTGTATTTTATAAACCGCAGAATCTTTTTATAACTTTATTTTGTTAAAAACAGCAGAAAACCAACAAAAAATATTTTTTTTACTGTTTGTTTAAAATTTATCTAGAGCCTTTTCTTTGTTTGAGAAAGCGGTGATTTAGATGTAGTTAAATAATAGCTTTTCCATGGGAGTGCTTTTTTCTTAACAAAGAAATTGAGTTTTTGCCACAAATTATGATTTTCTAATCCCAATATTTTTTAACTAAATAAATTTGAATAATCTAGAATTTATATATCAAAAGAGAAGCCACCAATAGGTTGCAAAGATATAGAAATTAAAAAATTTGAATTTGTGGCAAAAATTTTTGTTTTATCATAAAAAAATGTTTGATTAGAGAAGCCGGGAGACAAAAAAAATCATTTTTGAAAAGTAGTTTTTCCTGAAAAAGTTGAAATGTTTAAAGAATTAAATACAAACTAAGACAAAATAAATAGTTTGTATTTCTAATAACTAATTTTTTTATTTAAATGTAGATTGTCAGACCGTGATGAATAAAAGGTTCTAATTCACGTAATATCGATCAAATAAACAGCAGTCAATAAGTTTATATTTTTTTCTAAACCGATCCAATTTATGAAAACCCGTTAGTTGTATTTTTTAAACAAAAAGTAGAATTGGATGAATTATGGCTTTAAAACAAAGATCACATTAGCATATACACAGACTTAATACATAGATAGATAGGTAGATAAATTGATATCTAATAAGTTTATAGATATCTGATAGATAGATAAAAACAGATAGATATTGATAGATAGAAATAGAAATGGATACATATAATATGTCCTTTGAAATGCCATTTTGAACGAAAACCTATCCTTTAAAACATCCTATCCATTAAAAGGTTGTTTATGAAATTATAATGTTTTGAAATGTCTGTGGACTTTTATGTTTGATTTTTACGTGGAAAAAATTCAATTTTGTAAATTTTTGTATTAAACTGATTATTTAATTAAACTGATTAAGCTGTAATATAAACGCAATTAATTTTACTTCGATCAAAAAATATTGATTTATTAATAAAAAAAATTAAAATTATTGACAGATACATTCATAAATTCAACCTGTATTAAGTCAATTAATCTTTTCTCGAGACTGAACAAGTTTTTTAAATGTTTTTGTTTACACAATTCTTTCAAATTTAAAATACCTATTATTTAAGTGACTTTTTTGTATGATTTTAGACTGCCGAAAATTTGACTGAACGAGTTTTGTTTTTAATTGGAGCTAAGTGTATAAAATTTAGAAGAATTGTAGATGGATAGATAGAAAGATAGATAGATAGATAGATATATAAAGATGGATAGATAGATAGATAGATAGATATAAAGATAGATATAAAGATAGATATATAGATATATATATAGATAGAAAGAGATATATATGGATAGATAGATAGATATAAAGATAGATATAAAGATAGATATATAGATAGATATATAGATAGAAAGAGATATATATGGATAGATAGATAGCGCACTGGTATGCATGTATGTGATTATTGACTGGCTGTCTATTGTGTTTAATAATATTTGGTTTTGCTTCAACAGATTCATATTCCCACAGTACTTTACACCAGAAATATATCCCAGTTCAATGGTGACCATCCATGAAACTACTTATCCAACCCTGCTACCCTTATATATCCTATTTAAACCTAGTTAGATCTAAAAATGTCTAAAACATTACGTCATGATTAAATCTTAAACTAGAAGTTGAAACACAAATCAAGGAATCCCATAACGTCATGCTACCGTTTTATGCCTTTGCTTTGGTCCTTTTGTTTCATTAATTCAACCCATTTCAATCCTATGATACATTCTTGGATTAAGATACACCTTCCTTGTTACTAAACTAGAGTGATTAAAGATTTGAATACAAAGGTTAGAACCACTCATTGAGAAGATAAAAACGATAATTAAATGCCAGAAAACTGTCAATTGAACTTCAGTAATTGTATAATCAGTGATCAGTGTATTGTGAAGTGAGATTGTCCTTAGTACTGTTGGTCCAAAGTGAGCCAAGTGAGCCCAGTGAGCCCAGTGAGCCCAGTGAGCCAAAATGTTGAGCTACTTCTCTAATCCTGATTTAAGAAGAGGAGATGAAAACGTGATGCTGCAAAGTGTTCAATGGAATTCTGAACTGAAGGAAAAACAAGAGTTTACTTTTTTAAAGAGCTGCTTATATTATATACAAATTGTGTTTAATGTCTTTTAAATTTCAAATTTTAAATCAAAATGAGAATCCTCTTTTGATCAAATAGCCTGAAAGTTTTCACCATTAAGTTATAAAGATATAAGAAAATATTATAGTTTGAGTAGAGTAATCTGTTATCTTACTTTGTTTATGTCTAATATAGACAACGTGTAGATACGATTGATGCACACTTGGGACCGAATTTAATGAATGCGTGGTGTACCTGAACTGTCTACTGCCGGTTCAAATTTGTATCCCCCTGATTCAAATCCTTCCTTTATCTTTAACTTTAAAACGGTGCGGTTGTTCAAATTTGAAATGGTAGTAAGTAGTTCATTGACGTAGCTCTTCATGAAATTCGGTCTTACGTCACACAATTCTTTAAATGCATTTCTAAAAATTCGTTTTGATTAGTTATCTAACCGTCCTCAACGACAATCCGAAAGCTATTACAAGAAAGCCTCTTCTCTGAGCTACCAGCCTCGCCAGCCTAAAACAAGCCTCCAGCAAGATATCCACAGACGGAGGTTCGGCTCCGAGATCGGGCTCCAGGGTCTGGGTTGGACAGTATCCGATGCTGAGTTTGGAAGTTTAGGTGCTGATCAACGAAGGGATAGTATCAACACACTCTACGGAGATTTCAGGAATACAAATGCAGATTAAAAAAAATGTTGATTAAAATCCATTGTTTCCGCAATTTTGAATGACCTTTCTTTTATAAATTGCAATTGCCGATTTACAATTTTGTACTTTTCAAACCTTTGCCTGATAAAAATAATGGAGATATTCATGTTTTGGTAACTAAAATAAATGTATATGCAATTGCGGGTTACACACGGATTTAGACAACAGAGAAAAAGAAGTAAGTTAACAATTTTCAAGGTAGAAACACAAAGGATTACAGATGACCGTAATTATTAAGGGTCACTTTACATTACGGTTTCAGTTCCCTTAAAGGGAGTGTTCGCGAAAATTGAATGGGGGTCTAGGCTTACAGCGAAAAATAAGCGCTTTTTATCACTACAAATCTAGACCCCTTTCAATTTTCGCGAACACTCCCTTTTGGGACTTTCTTAAAGTTTAAATCCTGCATTAAGTTATAAACTTATCCAATTCCGTTTTTCTTATTTGTCCTGCATTTCACTGATGTATAAAACAGGGATACAATTCCTGGCGCTACCCACCACCCTGACAAGAAACCAAAAAGCAAGAAGAAAGAACGAATTCTAAAATTCTTTGGATTTAAGGAACAGAACAAACCAACATGTAGATACAGTGTGCACAAACCAACATGTAGATACAGTGTGCACAAACCAACATGTAGATACAGTGTGCACAAACCAACATGTGGATACAGTGTGCACAAACCAACATGTAGATACAGTGTGCACAAACCAACATGTTGATATAGTGTGCACAAACAAACATGTAGATACAGTGTGCACAAACCAACATGTTGATACAGTGTGCACAAACCAACATGAAACTTTAAACGGACTGTGTAGAAAATTTTGTTTTACAAAACTCATCTCCCTTTAAAGAATATTTAGGAAATAATTTACTAAACTTAAAGTATTTTAGTTGCACATAATTACACAATTATGCAAAGAATATTTTCACATTTTTGTAGGTTAATTAATTTTTTTTTATAGAAATGCATGTTTGATTCCATACTTGGCCGTTGGTCGTTAGCCGTTAGTGATATTTATTAGGCACGCTTAAAAAAGTACCAAAGATTTTGAGAGGGGGGGGGGGCCTCGAAAAATGTTTATCGGAAAGTAAATAGAAAAAAATAGAGTGGGATTAAATAGAGAAAGACGTGTTTTGAAGAAGATCCTGAAGATGGATCCTTCTACTATGCCGGAGGATCAAGAGAATCAAAAGGATCGAGAGGATCGAGGCCGAAATATGCCCAATCCGAGCTGGGATCCTCCAAACAGAGGTTGAATAAATTGGATGCTAGATATGCCTCCAGTATCCTCCGAGGTTTTAGTAGTACGGATACAGGGTTTGTAAGTTCGGAGGCTGGGTTTATCGACTCTGAAACCTCCGAAACCTCCGACAGTGAGACGGATAAGCAGAGCGGGGTTACAGAAATAGAGGTCAAAGAGATAGAGGTTACAGGTGACCCGGAGATAGAGGTTACAGGTGACCCGGAGAGGAAAATATCAGATCAGCTTTATCTTCCCATGCAAAGTCTCAAGGGTATCTTAGCAGCAGGCAATGAAATTTATAAAAAATCAGAAATAAAAAATATTTTTTGATTTAGAATTTAGAAGTCCAATCAACGGTGGTTGCCCAATTTTTAAAAAAGAACTGGGGGAGGGGTCAAATTTAACAATAAATCACTACAGTAACATTTTGTAAATTATAAATGCTTAGAAGGGATTACCCAAGAACCCGCGGAGAAATGTGAGGACACGGCTGAGCCCAAAGAAGAAGAAAACGTGGAAACTGATGTTGTAGAGTCTACGGAGAGTGAGACTGAGAGCTCTCATGAAAATTCATTAAACTTTGAAGAGATTGATGCTTCCACTGAAAGGTACAAAACCAAGTCCAGAATTGTTTTTTAAAGAGTTTTTATTGGCGTTTATATATTTGTTTTTATCTCTGGAAATGGTCTATATATATTTTTATATCTTTTTTAAATCGTTTTGTTTTCTCGAAAATTTGCTGTGTTATAAACTGTAGAAGATTGTTTTTTTTTCTGAGAAAAGAGTTTTTATTTTTGCCCCATTCTTCTAGTCATTATTAATTACAAATTATTCCATCGTTAAACCTGAAAAAAAAGATAAATGGGTTGGCTAATTACTCAAGACTTCTTGAAAGGCTTTAAGAGTCTGAGTAATGAGGGTGAATTTGTTCATGTTTTATCTGGAGAACTTACCCCTAATTACTCATTCTTATCTTGAGACAAATATCCTTATTATTGCTCCTTAGTGCACAGGATTTTCCCTGCATAGGAGCAACCCCCCCTTGATATCCCCCCCCTTGATTCATGTTTTTAACCCGCTATTTTCCGTATACTGCAGTCTTAACATTGGGTTGGGTAGGAACGAGAGCAATAACCTTTTCTAGTCTAAATACCACGTAAAGGGACTGCTTCTGCTTCAAGTCATAATTTTTATAATTTCATTTTAACATCTGAATAAAACACTATAACTGCAAACTAAATTTTTTACACATTTTAACATTGTAAATTTTTCCGTCAATTACTGAAAGTTTGTGTACAGTCCCTGAGTCCCAGCCTGGCAGCAAATTAATTGACGTTAAATTCTAAATTACTATTCATAAACAAACCTTTTAACAAATCACTGATCAAAAAGTTTAATCTATATAATCATATATATATTTATGTGTGAGCTATAGATGGCCAAACGGCTGAACCAAATAGGATGAGGGTTACATAAGCTAAACAATTTAAAAATTAATATAAACCTTGGCCACGCCGGGTTTTCCAGCTAGTAACTTTTAATACCTTTTGGGCCAATCCTTAAATTTAATAAATCTATCAAAATTGTAGAAGTCTTAAAAAGTATAGAAGTGAATTAATTAAGAAATAAATGAACCATTAAAGAAACAAAATAAAATATAAAATATTTGTTTTTTTTAGCATTTTAACTATTCGTCTTGCTTTCAGAAGTTTTGACATTTTATTCTTCAAATGCTACTCTTTTCGACTAATTTGCAAAATGCATGATTATTTGCTTAAAAATATAAAATTGGTAAAATAATTAGTTCATCTTGGTCACTAACCCAGCCCTTTACACTTCCTTGTATAAACCTTCAGAAATAAAACAACAAAAAATATATCACAATTTTGCATTGATCAATAAAAAATCATTAAATATTATGTTCGACGGTTTTTATAAAAAAAAATTATTTAGATCTGTTCTTTAATAATAATAATAAAATCATAAATAATGCTTCTTTGCTGAGAATTTGAAAGAAAAATGTTCATTTTTTCTTAACACCCTGTAGGCTGTATTAAGTCACGCTGAGTAAAACAGTTATCTATAAGTGGTCTTGCGTGATATTATGAAATAGTATCCGATATTGGTCTACATTCATACACTTTATCTATCTATCTATCTATCTATCTATCTATCTATCTATCTATCTATCTATATTTCTATCTTTCTATCTTTCTATATATCTATATAGCAACTGGAGGACATCTTTTTTAAAGTTGCCGGACTATCTCTCAATATTTTCATATATCACGACTGGAAATGTCGACCTGGCTCGGAAATTCAAATGTACTACGGCTGCCCGTGATATATTTATAACATTAACGCATGTAATCTCGGATCTATTAGCTATACAGGCTTTTTTGTATTTAACATAAAGATATGAAAAAAGAAAATTTTGAAGAATTTAAAATAATAATGAATAAATACGCTTCTTAACAAAAAACACTTCTATTATTTAAAAAAAAGATTGAAGAGGTAAATAGGAGGTAAATAGGAGGTAAATAGGAGGTAAATAGGAGGTAAATAGGAGGTAAATAGGAGGTAAATAGGAGGTAATTAGGAGGTAATTAGGAGGTAAATAGGAGGTAATTAGGAGGTAAATAGGATGTAAAAAGGAGGTAATTAGGAGGTAAATAGGAGGTAAATAAGAGGTAAATAGGAGGTAAATAGGAGGTAAATAGGAGGTAATTAGGAGGTAAATAGGAGGTAAATAGGAGGTAAATAGGAGGTAAATAGGAGGTAAATAAGAGGTAAATAGGAGGTAAATAGGAAGTAGATAGGAGGTAATTAGGAGGTAAATAGGAGGTAAATAGGAGGTAAATAGGAGGTAAAAAAATAAAGAAATAAAAATTTAAGTTTATTTTTTGAATGCCCAGCCTTCAAACCTTAAAAGGGATTAGTTTGAGATTTAATTTAGAGTTTTTTGATTTTTTGCAATCAAATCTTTTTATCATAGATTATATTGTTAAGCCTTTAAAATGGGTTGGCTTTGATAGATAGTATTACTAGGTGGTCCAGGGCGTAAAGTGCACTGTTCTCCGTCTGCACTTTTACAATTTCCATTCAAGCACTTTATATGCACTTAACTCTATCCCTGCTGGGTTACTTGAAAACCAGGATATGCTGGGGGGGGGGTCAATTTGACCCCCCCCAATAAATCCCATGTTTTATGTCCAAATATGACAAATGATACATCATTAGAAAGCTCTTGTGCTCGACTTTTAGAATCTGCAAAAAAAATTTGCAAATTTTCAAAAATTGAATTTTTTATCGCAAAATCCAGTTATATAGTAAAAATTTTTGCAAAAAAAAATTGTCCAAAAAATGAAAAATTATACATTGTTGAAAAGCCCTTGACCAAGCCATTTCAAATATGCAAAAATGTTTGCAAAATTTTAAATAACCTGATTTTTAATCAAGAAAAACTAANACTTTTAAACACAAGAGCTTTCCAATGATGTATCATTTGTCATATTTGGACATCAAACATGGGATTTAAAGGGGGGGGTCAAATTGACCCCCCCCCCCAGCAGGAATAGGGTTAATCTGAGCTGAAAACTTTAGAATTATATATCCTAAATCCTGATTGCTTAATCAGAGTATTCAATGTACACACTTTTAACTTTATTCTTAATCCTTTTTTTTGGATATCCCTACCGTATAAAAGTTACGTGTGATAACAATTACAGATACAATGCTTTATCGATTGAACTAATATCCGATTGAATTAAAGTCAGCTGTGTCGGCTTTTAGAGCATTTAATATGAAATATACTTTATCACATTTTAGGACTAACATCATTTTAAACGAGTTTTAACAAACATTAATCCAAAATTTACATTTAATTAATCGATGTTTAGTTCAATTGATATGACATAATTAACACCAGGAAAAAACCGGTTTTTCAAAAGTTGAAGAGTACATCTTTACATTAACCGCTGATTGGTTGAATTTTATACTTCTTTCTTGGATATCGAATTCGTATTAAAATAATCTTGGGTTTAGCAAAACCAGGAGTTTAAGCATTAATCTTGATATCGCATCATTCTAAAGTTTTCAGCTCAGGAGATAAAAAAGAAGTTAACAAGCATTATTTCATCTGGAGATTAAGAAAAAGAGTGGATCAAGCATTAATCCCGATATCCACCATTCAAAAGTTCCAAGCTTTGGTTATATAGTTTGAATTAATTGTTTTTTGTTCTACTTAAGAGTTCTTTAATAAGAGGAGATATATAAGTTTTCACTCTTGTACGTGCACTTTTAATTTAGTTTGACGTGGGCACCCTATAATAAATTAGATATCCATGTTTTGTTTCTTTAAACTAATTATTTTCATTTGTGGATTCTCTGAGAAAGTGACTTGCGCATTTTTTATTTATAAGAAGCATTGTAAAAATAATCGGAATTAAAAACAGTAAATATGACTTTAATCAGATAAAGGTTCTATACCCGGGTGTGTTTATAATTTGGGCATTGTCATCTTTGCACAGAGTGTCACTGGAAACTACGCTTACAGTCCCTTGAATATGTTATTTTGAAGCAAACCCTATTTATTGGTCTAATCGTGTTCATGTATATGTATTATGCAGTACTAAAATTAGGAGACCATTGACGAAGAAAGATGAAAAAGTTGTGTATGTATGAAGTATGATATATCCTTCACGCAAAACTATCAAGAACTAGGTATGCCCCGGCTTATTGGAAATACACTCCGCGAAGTTTTGAGATTAGATGCATTGCCAATAATAAGGTATAAACAGGGGGGATGATAGTTCTCTACCTGTGTGATCAGTTAGCTGCAGTACTTTACACTTACAACTGTTTACTAATATTGATATGCTGTAGGTTAGGCCAGAATCAACTTATAATAAAAAAATATGCAGTAAGCTATCGGTATAGTTGATGGCCTATACAAATAGTAAAGGATTATCGTACACTCTATACACTGTAACCTCGTTGGGTAGAAATGAAAAATTCCAAAAAATCTACATTTGATGGATAAACTTCCAGTCCCAGTGTACATTGGTCTAATCTTGTTTTCAAACATAATTCATCTTATTAAAAAGCTATCATGATTAACAGAATTTTAAATTTAAATATTCAACCGGATAAATAAAGGAACAACAAGGTCACAAAGTTGCACCAATTATGTCGCATACATTTGACATTCGTTTGTTGTCTATAGTTTGCAGAAATATTGGGAAAAAATAATTAGATTTTACTAGTATGGGCAAAAGTTGTTGGGAATTATTTTAAATTTAATTCGCAGTAATTTTCATATTTGTTTTTCGTACGAGTCAAACCTGTAAGTTTCATTTATTTGTAATTTTATCTAATTATTTTTTTTTCATTTCAGGTTAGTTTTTGCTTCCATTATTTGTATCAAAAGACGGCTTGTATAATTACACGAAAGTCAGATTGTATAAAAACAATTTTAATGCTCTTCAAAAAAGCTTGTATAACAGAGGTGACGTAGAAAATTGTGTTCAAGTTAATCAATAAAAAGAGGCCACCTTTAACTTTGGATTTATAACACATCCCGTTTTAATCAATGTCCTTTTTTAAATAA